AACTCCAACGCAGGGCGGTCGGCTTTGATGACCAGTCTCTCTCCCAAACACGAGGGAAACATGCGATCAGATACGATATCTATTAGGCTGCCGATTCAGCAGAAAATCGATCCGGTGCTACTATGTATCAATCTGCAATCGACCTCTCATTTCGTCAGCGAGCAGCGTTGCGCCTGCGACATTTAACTGTTGCGCCAGAGCGCCTGCCTAGCTGCCTAGGTGTGGCGTGCAAACCGAGTGTGCAAAGAAAAGTAGAAGAACTACTTTAGCTACTTTAGCTTCGGACGCACCGTTGCAATAGAATAGCGCGGAAACGGCTGCGTCAAAATGAAGCCAAGCAAGACACATATTCCAAGTACCGAGGACAAAGTAACCGGCGAGATAACATCACCATCAGGTTTCCACCTTCAGCTCAAGCCCATGTCCGCATCCCTCAGCAGCGATTATCAACAATTTAACGACAGAGGTACAAATAATAACGAACGCCGGAAACAATACGTCCGTATCTACACCCCCTCTGCGAAACAAAAAAAACGCAAAAAACAACACGCAATTTCATACCAGGCACACAACATGCAACACCAACTTAACCTCCATGGCTTGCCCCCGGCCAAAGAAAATTCTTCGATATCCCATTGTACCATCGATCAGCACGTGACGGTTTGAACCCAGGCAACGGCAAGGCCAACTTTCATTCGGGAAGCAGCCACGCGCCGCGAATCCAAATTCCCGAGAATAACCCCGGGATCGTTGTCCAGCGTGGGAAACACCGCTATTCTACACAATCCAAACACCCACCACGATTTTGCACCACACGGGTCTTGCGACGGATGGGAATACCCACGGCCAAGCTACGCTAAGCCAAGCTAAGCTAAGGTATGCTATGCGAAGCTCAGGTCGTCCAGGTCGCGTGTGAGGAAACCGTCGTCCACGAGATCGAGAGGCGTCGACTCCAGCGCCTCCAGTGCCATGGTCTGTTCACAGCACAACCGGATACAGTATTGGGGAGGAACAATGGGCGGAGCGCAATGACCGATCTCGAAGGAAAGTAGAGAGACCAACGGGTACGGTGGCTCGCCCTTGTGGGCAATAGAACTACTAATCGGGCGTGAGGAACAAGACAGCTAGCAAGAAAATAGCTAACGGGGGAGAGCCGAGAGGGCAGAGGGTTGCTGGGTCTCCATTCTGGAGGATCAGAGAGATGAAAAAATCAGCCCAGCGCACGGCAACAAGATGCAAAATACACGTGTGCATACGGCAAAGCACGGCAGCCAGCTCACCACAACCATGCTGCTGCACAGCAACAGGATGCAAAATGCACGCACGGCAATGTACGGCAGAGATTCTCTGTTGACACACACACACCCGGCTCTGCAAATGGCAACGGCAAAGCTACGAAGCACAGGAGCAACCAACGCCTGCTGAAGCGGTGTCAGCAATGTACGCTCTCGTCCGAATCACTGTAGGTGTTTAGGACAGATTTGACGAAAGATGACGTAGATCAGAAAAAGACCGGGCTTCAGCAGTATCGTCCAAAGCGTATCTACCGAAACGACACAAGAAGAACACGACACTACTTTTCGGGTCAACATGACAGGGCGGAATATTAAACCATACCACCCACAACAAGGCCCTCTTGTGTTGAATAGGGTGCTGCTGAACCATTCCTTGCATCTTCTCGAGGACTCCTATACAAATCGCACCGTCTATAGTTCTTTTCCCTCGGAGCATTCTTTCAAACGATGCGGTCTTTATTCAATCAAGAGATAGTATGTAGAGAAATTTATACCAAACAGCACAACAACGACGGCAGCAGCAGCAGCAGCAGCAGCAGCAGCAGCATGGACCTACTACAGAAACGGCAACTAGCTCACCACAGCCTCCATATCCAGGTCGAGGGCTGAATCGTCCTCCAGAACGGCACGGCTTGCCTCTGCCCTCTCCTTGTTCTTGTTCTTGTCATCCCCGGAGATCTCCTTCTCGCGCTCTGGATGGATGCATGGATTGCACCAAAGGAAGCAGTGCGGACTTAAAAAACAACAACAACAACAACGCCATGTTCCTTCCCCATGTCTTGGAAATTGCGACATTTCTTCTGTGTTTTATTCCATGCAGTGAGCGTCATTTAGGCGAGCCTGACACTCACAGAGTCAAAACCATGCGTCCCCAAAGAGGCGGAACCCTGGAAAACAACGTCAACAAGGACATGTACGAAGCCAGGATTGTTACCAATCACAATCACCTTCAAAGTCGGCGCGCACGATGCCCTTGATAGCGCTGTCGAAGCTTTTCTCGAGCACACCGGAAGCAGCGGCAACAGTATTGGCACCAGCCGCGGCAGTGTTAGTGATATCCCTTCCGAAACGGCCCTTTGAGCGAGAATGGGAAGAAGAAGACGCCTTTGGGAACGATGACGAGGTTGACTGTGATCGCGATCGGCTTGAACGGACGGCGGATGACCTTGAGGGTGGGAAGCCCATCGGGCGGGACAGGGGGAGGGGGAGGGGGGGACGCACACAGAGAGGGCAGGGAGGGAGAGAGAGTGAGAGTGTGTGTGAGATAGATATATCATCAATAGAGAGAGAGACAGACAGAGAGAGAGGGAGAGAGAGAAAGAGAGAGAAAGAGAAAGAGAGAGAGAGAGAGAGAAAGAGAGAGAGAGAGAGAACAAAAGGAAGATGGTGTGGGGGCTGAATTAAGTCGCCAGCAAAGAGACCCCACCGTACAAACATCTACACCATCACCGCTGGCAACAGCATCCTCTACCACAGGCCACAAGGTGCCTTGTGCTTTCTAGGCGTGAAAGTCCCTGAGCAACGACAATTACAACAAGCAGAACACGGGAACTCGACCCACTGGTAACATAGAGCTCATACATCCCGGGCCCAAGTATATAGCTTGACTACTCCACGACGAAAGGGATGGTCCGACCAAACGACACATTTTCGGAAAGCTCTGGACGAGAAGCATTCAACACCTCCAGTTTCAGCACCGTCACCGTCTTTGGAGCAGATTTGATCGAGCTTTCAAAATTGGGCTAGGGGGTGTGATATCTTACGTCGCCTACGGTACCGAAGGATGCGAGAGAACGCACGGGGGTACCACTGCCGACAACCCGCCGAGGGCTTTCCTGAGAGGTGTCGGTTGGTGTTTGCACCCTTCTGGTTGTGGAGCAATCAGGCGTTGAGAAACACTACTTAACACCCCGGTGCATTCTCTCGCATCCTTACGGTATTTGGGTTGGTGTCATTTCGTTCTTGATAGAGACTTGGCAGCAGCATTCAGCCCAAGCAGGCAACGAAGAGGCTTTTGCAGGCGATCACACCCGCCGTAACCATACCACACACTTGCACAACCGTACCGCGATACTACGTAGCCTAGCTGTCGGTGATCAGAGATGTCGCCTTGTTCCTCACAATCCGCTCGTGTCAGGCATGGGCAAGCGTACAAGTGGCGAGCCGTCAAGTGCTGCATGTACTGTATCTCCTAACAAACCCTGACGGCCGCCGCCGCTACTGCTGCTGCTGCTGCTTAGAGAGCTCTCACCCATCGCATTCTCCACCCTCCCAATCCTCGCCCACAAAGCGGGCGAAACCGCCAAAAACCAGCGATACAACCTTCGGTACTCTGCTGCTGTGGACAGTAGCGGTGCAGCCATCATGTCCTTGCTCACCTGTGAGGCCTGGCGAACTTCTCAGCCGCTCTCTCCTCCGCCCGTCTCTCCACGAGAACCTCCTCCTCGTCTCCGGTCCTACCAAGAGGCAGCTCGATGTCATCCACGCGCCCATTCGACCCTACCACGTTCTTTCCGCTCCCGCTCGCTACGACCCTTGAACCAGCGCCTCGCGGCCTTACCGCCCCGCCCGCCGCCTTGTTCGAATCGCTGTGTACGGTAAACTTTAACCCTGGGGTGAGGAGCTGCTGCTTTCCCGAGAGCTTGGAGGGGGCGTTGTTGGTCGCCGCTGGCGGAGGGCCGTTGCCCGCGTTTGAGATGTCGCCCAGCGCCCGTCGAGGCTGCTTCTTGGCGGAAGAGTTCGGGGGAAGGCCTCCGAGCCCACGGCCACCGCCGGCCGCTTTTCCTTTCGCGGCCGAAGGCGGCGCGTTTTCGGAGTAGCTGCCCAGGGGTTTGAGCTTGCGCTGAAGAATGCCCTTCCCGGAAGCTGAGGGGGGGTTCTCTGACGACCCTGGGTGCAAAGCGGCGCGAAAGTTCAATGACAATCATTGAATAGTTTTATGTTGGGTTGTGGGTTGGTTTGTGGCACACCGCTACACGAGATGGGTCAATAAAACGAGAGACGCAAATAAAGAAAATATGTTGTATGACTTCGGTTAAAATACGTGAGAAATATGAACCGACAGATGCGAAGACTGGCGCCAGCATATCGGGACGAAGACACTAGTGCACACGAACTACATCCTAAACGCGCTGCCTGATGATCGCGAAACACTCGGTTGGTGATATGACACAAGATACCACCCCCCCCACCGGATCGATGTTCAAAGCCCTAATACACTCCACGATGATGAGGGTGCAATAATCAGATGATACCTTTTCGGAAAGCGCTCCACGACACGGTTTCAACGCTGGTATATTTCCGGCACGTCACTGGCTTTGCCGCAGAGCTATCGAGCTTTGAAACCGGTCAACGGGTGCATCACAGGCAACCTCACGGCAGCAGTAGTAAGTGGTAGTCTACACCAGCAATAGACCCCGCACGGCCGTGAGCAACTTCTGTCTACTCTACACAACACCTCCGCAACACTTCCACCTCTTTGCCAGGTTGTACGCAGGAGTGGCAGGGGGCTTAGGCCCAGGGAGTGCTGCCGCACGGCACAGCCAGAGTCTATTTCGCTCTGCACAAGGCTGCTCACGTCGCACACGTTGTGCAGATGCACTCGTTGTGTTGTTCCCTACCCTACACGCTGGCAGCAGGCGCAGACCCCTGGGTAGCAACACCCGCACACGAGGGAAACTACAGCTGTGTCCTTCCCGCACCTGCATCGCCTAGAGGCTTGAAGCTCTTGCCTCCGCCGAGCCCACGCTGGGACGGACCGACTTGGTTGATGTTCTCGGCATTCCACGTGCTCAACATGGTGTATATATGTCACGTGTCGATTGACGCAAGATGCACCCAAGGCAGCAAAACAAACTGCAGGGATGCAGCACCGATATCTTCGCTGTCCCGCCCACTGTCTTGATGAGTGCGCCGCCTCCCCCTGTTCCTCCCTCCCTCCCTCTCCACAGCTGTTGTGTGCAGGACAACACCTACACCTTTTTCCCGCCAAATGACCGTTTGCCAATTTCGCGGGAGAGATTGATTGCAGCGCGCGCTATTGCAGATTTTGATTTTGTATCCGGCTCCTGAGAGATAACAGCCAGACGAAAGCAAGGAATACGTACGGCAGCAAGCTGTCACGCATGCAGTCGTTGCAGTTGCGCTGAGAGGCCGCAAGCAAGGACACGCTCCCGGCGGCACGCGGCACCTTTATTCCTCTATTTGGGGATTTGAGGGAGTTCGAAGTGAACATGCCCCGCATGTTGAATTCTGAAACGCTCTTCGTGCTGACGGTTTTCGACGAAAAAGAAAGACGAAACGCGACAAGTTGCGTATGCATACACAAGTCTTGCCTCCAAGTGCGCTGTAGTGTCTCCCAAGAGGAGGTTCCTGTCGGTAGATGCACTAGCGCATTTCTCCCTGTCGCGTGCTTCTGTACCGCTGCCGTCTAGATGTCTCAATTCCTTTCAAGCATGCAGAACACATCAGAGCACTGCTTTTTTTACGGTACTGACTGCTGTAGGAAGGATCTGTCGGACGAATGTTTCGCGCCCCCCAACCACCAACGCCGCCGGGTACCCTATTTGCGGTAGGTTCCCTCTTCTGCGTATCCCTTCGCACTGTGCGACTCACGCACCACCCATCATGACCTCCATGACCAGCTTTTGGAATACTGTCAGTGTAAGGAAGTTTTGGGTTCTTCGCCATCGCGCATGGCCGGGAATTGTGGTGTTCCCAGGTTCGGTCCGTTGCCAGCTGGACGATCCTTACAATACTCTCTTGTTCTGACTCTTATAATTATGCCTCCTGGCGCGTACCGCAGGGAGTAAAGGTGGACAAGAATAGTGGACACCAACACCAATCGCCAACGGCCCACATGGACTATTGACGAGCGAGGTCTGTCGTGCGTTCGTGTCCGCCCGCGATAAAGTGCGTGTGTCCGACATACAGTAGACTACATATGTACATGTGCCACGATCCCATACCGGAGTCTATTGCACTACCCGCGGAAATGCCGGGGCCATCTGAGAGAGCCACAGTGTGTGGTGTCGATTGTGTGGTGTCGATTGCCGCCGGCACACGAAGCGTGGGTGGTTGCTCGGTCGACTGCGTAACGGAGAGCACAAGTACAAACGGTTGACGGCGCTTTCGTGCGTCAATGTGTAGTCTGTGTATGGATGTGCCTATCATGGGTTCCTCGAGAGTGATCTGCTACTTCCACTACGCCCCGCTAGGGCCAAGGCGTGGCTAGGGGTCGATAACTGGAACAACAGGTCTGTGACTGGGAGCTAGCCGTGTTTGCGTTTGCTCACGTGGAAGGGATCTGTCGCCGCCGCGACAGAGTGTCCCCAGGCAACCAACAAACGAACGGTGCCAGATGGACTTCGTGGAAAGCGGAACCTACATTATTTGCGCTTGAACATGGGTTTCCCCGTCGTGCAATCGCGGCGAACACGCGTTCTGGTGCTCTGTGTGGGGAGCAGAAGCTGTGCTTCAGCTGCAGGAATCATCACCAAATGGTTTTGCGATATTTTTCGCCTCACAACTCCGACAAACAGCAGTATGGACTACAACACTTTGCACCTGACCCAGTGGATGTTTCTACCCCAATACTTCCCCCTCTATTTGCCCACCGCTCACTGATTTACATAACATTGCGCACCTTCCAATAGCATGACTCTACAGGACAGAACAACAAATTCTACCTATTTTTTCGTGCTATCGCCGGGCCACGTCTCCACTATCCACTTCGCTCTCCCCTTGAGGCATACCCGCATGTTCTCGGGATTTATCTCTATCTATTGATGGAGAGGTCGATGGTGGGATATGACGCGCGTCTTGTTCGTGCTCAAGACTTGGAGCAGGCACATCGCCTAGAGATTGCCGTAGTGGTGCTAACCGCTGCTGGGCCAGAACAGAAACAGAAGAGAAATCCCCGAATCCAAGTTGAAAGGGAGAGAAAAAAACATGGGAGCTTCGTCAAATACGGGTGATGCGATTACGATTGAGGGAAGCAAATTCTGGCTGCAAAATGATACTGTTCACACCACGGACCTACAGATGGTTGGTACAGTATTGAACCAGAGCCAGGGCCAACCTTTTAGAGGTCTACACCGCAGGCTTCATTACGCGAAACATATGTAATAAGGCAGGGGGAAAGATTCAGGGGTGTTCAGGGTTCAATGGAGGGAGAAAAACATGCGACGGACACCGCGTTGGTGTGGACATTTCGAGTGTACTAGCTCCCAGGACGTGCAAGTATGGACCGAATAGTGCCCCATACGGTAAAATCCGTGGCTCGAGTTTTGTTTTACTCAATTTTCTCTTTGCGAGAAAGACCAACCCTCAAAATGACACCTTTTACAGTAAGGAGCACGTAGACGTTTCTTCTTGTACGCGACGGCTGGCTGATGATACTCACAGCAACCATCCTACGACTTCAACCATGGCGTGATCACGCCAACAGTCACGGTTGCGCGAAAACACTTTGCTGAAGTTCTTGCTTCGAGTAAGTAGCACTATTTAGGTGGTATCCAAGGCCACAGGTCTGGTCCGTCGGCTAATCTCGGATGAGTCCAACGAGGTGCCATGGCCACACGTACGCACCTCCGTAAAGGTAGATCTTCGCGTGCTGCCGTCATCACGGTGTCCCTCTGCCTCCTCTTCTCCTAACCGGTCTAACGTCTGCACCGCACCCCGCTCCAATCCCGCCCTCCTCTCCACATCTGATGAGTCCCAGTCTTCGTCTGCTGGCGGCGTGGCTGACTTTCCGAGGTCGTCATCGCCTTGTACGTGTAAGTTCCCTGGCAGGGCGACAGAAGTGGTGCCAACAAGCCCTGTTCCGTCGGTTTCTATTGCTGTTGATGCCGCACCTACTGCTGCTGCTGTTGCTGCGCCAGTCCCTTCTGCCGCCGCGTCCCCCGCCGCATCCTTCAATGCGGCGTCCCAAGCACCGCTGCCGGCCCCCCACGTGAGCTGCGTCACAATAACGCCGCCCAACCCCGGCACCGTTAGGGAGTCCTCCTCCGCGCTATCCGAGGTCATGCCACCCTGCCCCTGCTCCTCCTGTTGCTGCTGCGTAGCGGAAGCCTCTCCTTGACCACCGCCACCGCCGCCGTCTCGGCCCTGGCGGTATCTCAATCTCCGCGGCGAGTCGTTCCCTGCCCTCTTCTCTTCCGTACCGTTATCGTCGTCGCCTTCTTTCCCCACCCCCTCTGGCCTATCTCTCGCCCGTCGTATTCGACTCGTTTCGGGGCCGGCGCTTGGTATTCTCGCTCCTGTCCCTCCCTCAACCCGGACGCTTTCCTCACGGAGGTAGGAGGCGAGAGCGGTCGTTCGGCGCTCATTGAACATGCCACCGCCGCCGCCGCCGCCGCCGCTACCTCCGCCGCCGTCACTCGAGCCAGGGGTTGCCTTGCTCCCTGCGACGCCGCCTCCTTTCTTGCCACCGTAGGTGGCTTTCTTTGCGGCTAGCTTGTTGTTCTCCGCCGCGATTTCCTCGCTGGTTTGGGGTTGAGTTGGAGCCGAGGGGGCAGGGGAAAGGAGGGCGGCGTTGGCGTTGGGGCGAAGGACATTGAGGATTGTTTTCAGTTTGTCGCGGCAGCATCAATCTGTGTGGTGTAGTTCTTGCATGCGCAGAAAACGGCGTGAAGAGAACATAATAAGACAGCCAAAAATGATGTGTACATCGCAATGCTATGCTTCGTACGCAGTGCCCACCATTGATTCTCGTGCCACCGAACGTCTAACCCGCGTTATTACTATCTCCAACCCGGGGGAACCCGTAGGTAATACCATTATCTCAATGTTTCGTGTACCGCTCGAACTCTAGTCGCACTACATCAGACTCTCACCTTTCCGGCCGAGAGAATAAAGGAACCAGTTTGACGCGATGAATCTTCTTCTGACCAAAGGAGGTGTCTTACAGCGGAAGGACAACTCCATCCACAAGACGATTCCACAATCTCCCACCATGCATGTATCACCACTATTAAGACTACTGGTGAAGCATAAAACAAGTCCGAAAATTGAACCTCGTGTTGAGTACCTGGCTTGCTGGAAAATGGCTGCTTCCAGACCCATCCTCAACTCTTCCGCGAGAAAGGGGTGGTACTGCAGGAGGTATCGGATGCTGCTGTTGGACAGCAGGTATACCTGTCGAGAGAGTATAAGGTAGCGGGTCAAAACACAGGCTTGCTTGACGAGCTCGCGCGCGGGTGGTACTGTACGCATGCGCCCTCCTGTGGAAAGAAGTTGGTGGGCAGAAATTCACTGGGAGGCTGAAAAACTGTCAGAACCAAACCCAAAGACCAGTGGAAAACGCTGGCTTGACTTGTTTGCGTAGGTGCAGCTTACTGGTCGGAGGATGTACGTATGCCGTTACTATTCTTTGATGCGCGTTCGTCACTTCCGAACAAAATTGCTGTACTTGAAGAATGGGCGATCTATCTTCAAACCAATGAAACTATAGGAGAAAAAGTTCTGTAAGAATGCTTCAATGCCTATCAACTTCTCGTAGTAATGCGCACTTTTGGCTATTGGACACGTGATCACACCGTGCAACACTCCTATTTCTGTGCGTTGTGTTCATCCTTTCGACACTTCGATACTTACATAGAGTTGCGTGAAAGCCTTGACCGCCATGTCCTCCTCAAGGAACGACGCGAGGAACCTGGTGTAGCCGAAGAACTTTCCGGTGGACACGATCCCCTTGACCTTCTCCTCCTCCGTCCCGGCGCCGCCCGTGACTCTGACGTAAGCCTCGGCGATCCCTTTAGTGACGAAGTACACCCCCTGACTCATGTGTAGGCTTTGGAAGACTACTTCTCCCTGCGTGCAGACATGGAAATATGAGTTTCCGCCGTGATAAGAGAGGGTGGGCGAGGGTGAGCCCCCGTGTATTCACCGCCATCATGTCTACAACCGGGAGGGAATTATGATGGATATCGCCGTTCTCTGGTTTATTTTTTCGTGCGATAAGTAAACAAGAAAGGATTCCGGTCTCTTCTTGTCACGCAAAAGGCGGTCACGAAAAATACGGTCACCAGTACTCAGGACCGTTTGATTAAGATGTCATGGCCTGTCACCCATCGAAGTGGAAACAGTTATCGATCCGAACCATCCGCGCCGAGGTCGAGCAACACTGCGGACGAGTAAGTATTGTAGACATCACTATGTAACAGGATAGAAGTATATACATACCGTGGGTGCGCGCAGGAAGCAAGCAGATTATGATCGAAACGAACAACACTCATCCAGCGTTCGTCGTTCACCGGAAGCCGAGGGCAGAGTTATCTCCAGATGAAACGTACCTGTGAATACTGTCTCGGCCGAAGGTTCTTGAGGATCGCAGACACAAAACTCGGTGGTCGCGTCTTGAGGACCGGGATGATGAGCACTGCGTCCCTGTGGACGTGCTCCAAGACCCTCTCCTGGAGTCGAGGGGGTAGTCTGGACAGGATGTGATCTTCGTTCCAGGCACTCCTCGCACCCGTCACGAACATCATGTGTGTCCGCACAGACTGGGGTTGGAGGGGAGGAAGGAGGAGCAGACCAAGGACACACATGGGCTCGGCGATAGTTTTGTAGTTTGTAGGCGGATGCATGCAGTGAAACGTCTTGGGGTTAGCGAACGTTGACTTTGGTTGGAGACTTTTTTTCAGTTTGGATCCCTCGGCTTCAGCAATTTCTTTCCCTGCTGTGCTGCATTTTTTCGATCAAGGTAATAACGGTCAGCTTGTGTCGACCTTGTTCAATACCTCTAACATATATATGTCATGTGACTTCAATTTTTGTTATCATTACAGCCAAGGGTACTATTATTGTAGTTTCAGCTTACAACGAGAACGAACGTAACTAAACAACGACGACATCGCTACCCTTTCCAGGCGTCAAGAGAAGCAGGGTCCACGGGCAAACCAGCCTCGTGTGCGGGTAAGACGTACAAATATGACGTACAAACGTCGCGTGCTGCGTTTGACACCAAGATACAAAGCCTTCCGCCGAACGCAATGTACGGTTTCCCCAAAAGTTTTTTTGGGGGGCTTCAAGCGCCGGAATGGACGTGAATGTACGGTTTCCCCGAAAGTTTTTTTGGGGGGCTTCAAGCGCCGGAATGGACGTGTAACGGCGGCTGTTCCTCGCAACAAGTGCCCATAGTGGACTTTCCCGAGGCGACTTACGAAGCGTTGCTTTTGTATCGGAGAGAGCACTGCGACCAAGCTTTTTAACCGCCCCCGGCGGCGTACCCGCCCCACAAGGAAGGGTTCTCGGGCAGTACCGGAGGTTCTTCTACCGCTTATTCTCACAACCAACCACCCCTTCGTGGTTATCCCCGAGGTAGCGAGAGTCTGAATATTTGTGTTGCGCCTGGGAGACAAGGGAAACATTCAGCGACCGTGCGACAGGTCCCGACGACGACAGAGCATCAAGTGTACTCACGTCGCCCAGATGAGCCCCGACTTTCTGCTCCTCCAGATAGTTTTCGACGTTCTTCAGCTCCAAGTTACGCCGCACGTTTCCCCCAGTTGGATTCCTGCCGGCGAGGAGAAACGGTCACGTTAATGCGACACCAATAATAGCAGACCTTTCCGGTAATGTTTCGCTTCTTGAGCATGGAGTTTGTTTTTCTGTCTCCCCGTCGGAGCGATAGGCTCAGCCATCCTTTGGAGCTGTTCCCCCGGCCTAGGTTTAGAGCAATGTTGGTTTCTTCGCGAGTGCTGGGGGTGCGCACGGTCCCACCTTTCGCAGGGTTGGCCACTGGCTACACGGATACACTCTTACTGCCGTTTCGGGTTATGGCGGTTGTCAAAACAACACCAACGGGTCTCGTTGTACATGAATGGTTTAGCCTGGCTTCGTTTACCGTTGAAGGAACAAGGGAAGGTGTGGCAAGCGCGGCCCGCACAGCACGAGGAAATAGCAACAACCTCCAACACGAACAGTGGGAGGGATGTCGGCCCCACTCTAACGAGCCGCTCCACGCTTCCGATGGCACTGCACGGCGTTTTCATGTTGTCCACGATAGATTGAGAGCACAAAAAGAAGCAGCTGCAAGTGCTTGCAAGGCCCCAGACAATGACAAGAGCATCGACACATGCACAATCTTTCAGAAGCAACAACGGCAGAATATATGTTCCATCTCTTTCGGCAGCTACTCTCTCGGCCCGGGCACTCACATGACAAGCGTGGAGACGCTACCGATGACGTACGAGAACATGGTTGTCCCGCAAACCATGGTCAGGCACGCAATCATCCTCTCCAGATCGTTCGTTGGAACCAAATCGCCGTAGCCCACCTGCCAAATCCAACCAATGCACACACCGACAGTCGGGGGAATGATATGCAACGTTCCAGGTGGCCCTCCATGCAAGCGTAAAGGGCTTGATAAACGGTGTAGCGGTTTGACTTTTGACCTTTGCGAGCGCATGGTCAGCACCAAGCCATCGAAGCACACGGACAGGTCCGACCAACCAAACGAGAAACACTGAGCGGATGGGTCGGAGGAAGGACTATACAGGAGCGGTTGGCGCAATCGTGGAGAGTTCCAAATAGTGCGCCGTTCTTGGAAACTAACAAAGCTGTTGCCTTGCCCAGAGATCGACGAGGCGGTTGCGGCTACAGTAAAACGCTTGGCCTTGCCCCGCGTGAATCCGGTTGCGTATCCCAGTTGTTGGTGTCGTTGGTTTCGCCGTCATTATGTTCGAAGATGAAAATGGCTGTGACCATCTTCTTGCACCACTCGGTAGATGTTAACATCACAACTACATGTATGCACGCATGTGCACACAAACTCCTACACAAGCAAAATATCAAGTCCTTGACTTCAGAAGCAGAACGCTGCTATCGTCCGACTCCTGTGACCCCGTGAAAACCTTCGTAGAAACGTTTTGAATAGAACGTGTTTCGCGTTTTTTATCCCGCGACAAGACTGACGTCTTTTCGTTGGTCAGTCCGTTCGCGCAGTCGATGCGAATTCAAAACCACACACACATACGCACGCTGCCGCCCCTCACCGTTGTGATGGTGGTTGCTGCCCAGTAGAGAGAGGCAATGTAGGTGGACGTGGCGTCATCGACATCTAAGCCGTCCCTTTGCCACCAGGATTCGTCGTTGTCGTATCGGCTCATTACCCACCAGAAGCACCCGAAGACATGCGACGCGTACAAAATGACCACCAGAATCTGCCGCAACCGTAAAAGAGAAACAGATATGCAGACGGACAGACGTCACAATGGTGGAATGCGTTGTGCTGCAGGGCACCTGTACTGGAAGAGAACGAGGACGACCGATCGCCTTTTCTCAGTACGAGAGAGAGACGGGGGGAGGGGGGAGAGGAGGTCCTCGAAGAACGACACGCACAGAGTGTTTTCCGGAACTTATCGGTTTTGGCGTGGTAAGATAAATTTGTTGTATGGTCAATACTGAACAGACTGTGGTTAACCTTCTTTCTTGTCACACCGGCCAGGACTCTCCGCGGACACCATATTGGCGAAGGAAGGAAAGTCGACGCAGGCGCAGTACAAGCAGGAACTACTTCGAATATATACATGGAGATGTAGGTGGCTAGCCTGCGCTTGATGGAGTGGGTGGCCTAGTCTGCATGACCCGCCGCGCTTGGTACAAGCACCAAAGGATCGAAATAACTTCGAGGAGAAACAGGTTTTCCCTACTTTCCTCGCTGAGGACCTCTCTCTCTCTGGCTCTCTCTCTTGAAGTATGTATTGGGATTCTCTTTGGCATTGTCAAAGTCCCCCGGTGGTTTTCTACATCTATCGCCAAGTTTGCCTGTCTTACCTGCACTACGTCGAGACACCACCGAGGGACGTCGACGTTCATCCCTCGGACCCATCTTCTTCGCTTAGCCCCTCCGCTCGCCAGTGCTTCCTGCTCGCGCAAGCGGTGCAGCTGTTTCGCTAGCGCCGGCGCTCTCCCGATCCGCAACAGCTTCAGCACGACAAGGCCCCTGTTGCAGTAATTCATACGAATACCCCGCGTTAGCCCAGACAACTTCCCAAAGGTAGAGAGGAATCGATTTGCACTACAGTATATCGGCAAGCGCAGACCAGCCGTGACAGGAAGGAACACCCGTGTTGACCAGGCGCCGGTCTTGGGCACTCCTCACCTAAAAACTCGGTCGGAAACGTCGAACAGATAACCCGGAATGGTGCTGGCTATGTCGAAGAGCATCCATCCCCGAAGGTAGTTCTTCAAGATCATCCCTGCTCGGTCCGCAAAAAGTCGGGGTTAGTAAGGATCAACGTTGTACGGTTTTACTCTTTTCATTTGGAAATAAATTCCGATTAACAGCTCAAAAACACGTCGTTGGATGCTGAAGATATCGACGTTCAGAGAAATGAATCACTGTGAGACAGCGATATTTCACTGCAAAACGACGTTTTCCTGCAATGATCCAATACAGATGAACTGTTCCACTGCCATGCGACGCCCACCTGGAACCGTGATGTACACGATCACGTTGTCTGCCGCGTTGCCAATGTAGGCTGTGCGGAACCGAAGCAAGATGTCTGAGATGCCAGCATTCACAAGCGAAGGGGCAAACAAAAAAATCAGGGCTTGCGAGTTACCAATAAATATATAAATACAAGTATCGTGCCAAACCAGGCGCAGCGCTCCGTTAACCGCAATAAACAAGTGTTCTTTGGGGGAGTGGGGTACAGGTTTGCGCTTCGTCATTCCTTTTCACAAGATCCGTTACGGGAAGACACCTTGTTGTCCCAACACTGGCTATTCCTAAGAAAACCATCATACCACGTTCCCGTCCCGCAACATGTCGATCTCCTCCAGTTTACACCTACAGCATAGGTTTTCTTGGTTTTTGGCTTTCGGATCATGAGGAGACAACATAGGTCGCAGCTTGTTTTGTAACCTCCGTAAATTTATCTTGCGATTGCTTTCTGGGAGATGATCCATCTGGTTGAATATCTACGTTGGTGGTGAATTCAGGGGAGTTTGGGTGTAAACAACAAACAACCACAGAGTAACGTTGGTCCTCTCTGCTCTTGGTTACTCTAACGTATCCCAGAGGAACATACCAGGCGACTTTGGGGTCAACTCTCTCTCTCGTCTACCTTCGTCGTCCTTCCACTGTTCATTCTCCATTTTGACCCTTCGATGCCCGAAAGCACGCCAACGACGTCAGGTTGAAAATCGTTCCTAACTTCTGAAAACCTGAAAACAAACCATTGGACCATATTGTGCTATCCCCCCCCTCGTTCATCAAACGTTCTCGTCTACTGTGGTTCAGCCAACTACGCAGGCGCGACGGAGTGGAACCTCGGGGTGCAGACTACACCGGACTGATGCGTATTTCAAAGAAGTCTCGCATGAATCATATTTCGACGCGATTCTGCTGTGTCTGAGCAGTATTCAAACCATTCCCCCGTCTTCACCTCTTCACCAAAACTCAAAGAGGACGCAAAATCTCTTGGGGGTGGGGTTTCAAGGACCCTCCGTTCTCCCCATAAAGCGAGAACTCACCGATTACGAAGAATATATCCACGGCAGCGTCGAATATACACCACGAGAGTGCATCGTTGTGCGCGAAGGCCATCCTGTAGGGCGTGAGCACGGCGACCAAAACGCACACCATAGATATGGCCACGTCCCATCGTAGCTTGATCGGCTGGTCCGGCAGTATGATCGCCCGATGGTTCAGCTCCTCGGGAGTCTCTTCCGTCTGTGGCGCGTAGGCGTATACGTTAGCAATACGACCAGAGGTGGTGAAGTCAAAGTGATATACTGTAGGTCCTCTCACTTTAGAGAATAGGCAGGCTATGAGAGGGTGGGTGGGCGTGGTAGGTCAAGCGGGATTCGGATCAAACACAGGCAGGTCAAGTAGCTTTGCTCGAATGGACGAGGGACGGTGATTGGAAAGGAGGGAAAAAGGAGCATAGATGTTGATCGAGCGATCGGTAGTAGCTCAGCGCGAGGGAAAATTGTAACTCATTGTTCCCGAAGGCCTACCGAAAGCGTTAGCCTTGTGTGTGTAGGTCGTGTGTCCACCATGGCCATTCCTTTGTTCTGTTTGTTGCGCCTGATGTGGCCTTGGTTCACTCGAGCGAAAGCGGGTCTGTCTGATCTCAGTACATGCCACCTCCGAAACCGCCAAACTGATCCTCAAGGTAGGCAAACAACGTCTGCTGCTACACTGAGATATAATGGACTGTTCACATTAGCGTCTGAGTTCGGTGGATAGTTGGGATGGACATTTGTCCTCCGTTGGTACAGCCGACGTGCATTTCGTCTACCCATTACCCGGGAGTTGTTCTGCTTTATCCATTGGCACAGGCAACGGGCAGTTCGTTTACCTATGAACCCGGGTCTTGTTCTGCTTTGCATACCCTTTCTCCAAATCGATTACGTGAACGGCAGCGTCAATATGCTTGCCCACCCACCTCTGAAACTCCTTTGACCACCTTCCCCGTCCCGTCGAGGACCTCGCCAAAACCATAGTCGCCTCCTCGCCAGGTTCTCACAAGCCTGTCGTCCGAAGCATCCATGGTAAACGTTTTTTTGTTACATGGATACTATGGAGTTTGTACAGTAGCGTTGGCGAAGCGAACATGTCACTCTTCAGTCCGCTCTGTTGGATCTGCGGTTACTGACTTGAAGCCTCGTTCCAAGTTCAACAACGTGGTGGACAGCGCGTAATACACGGACCAAGGAAATCCTTCCACTCCAGGCTCATGCAACGACATACCCCCGGGAAAAACGATGTACAAAATGAGAAATGGTATGACCTCGCTTCACTTGGACAGACTGAAATTTGGAAAACGTGGAAAACTACATGAAACCAACAGACAGGCGACGTGAACATGAGTTTTATTAATACCAAAAGGGAAACAAGTTATTGGAACCTCGCGAACAGCAACAACAACGCGGCCTGAAGCAAGTGCATAAGAATGAATCTGAAAACAAAGTTGCCTCGTGGAGCCAAGAAATTGTTCCCACTTCAGTGCAGATATGATAATTCGAATACAGGTTGTTGTTGTTGTTGTTGCCGGATATGATGATAAAATAAAGAGATAGGGATATAGGGCACCTTGATGCGGGTGGACAAGAGTCGGAGATGCTTTCCTATATTCTGGGTTTCATAAAGACAAAACCCTGCATCGAACGTTTCTGCGGTCGCATTCACCGTATGAAAAAAATTCAAGAAATTGTTCCCACTTCAGTGCAGACATGATAATTCAAGTAAGGGTTGTTGTTGTTGTTGTTGCTGCTGTTACTGTTGCCGGATATAATTATAAAATAAAGATATACGGCGCCTTGATGCGGGTGGACAAGAGTCGGAAATGCCTTCCAATATTCTGGGTTTCATGAAGACAAAACCCCGCATCGAACGTTTCTTCGGTCGCATTCACCGTTCCTATCCTGCGCAAACTACGTCGAATCCGAGGAGGCATGGAAATGTCCACACCATCCACGCAGGTTGCATCCGCTCTCACGTATCGGTGTTAATCAACGACGCAAGAACGAGAGCAGGAGGAACTAGCACGCTATTTCGACATGCTTCCAACCTCGCAAGATGCTCCCTGAACCGGATAAATTCTCCATTCAGCTTGACTTGGCATAAGCAGGACATTTTCGTGCAATCCAGCCGACAAAGTTTGGCGCTTTACAGGTGTGTGATGCTTCCACGATTGGCTGGTCACGTTCTGGAAAGGTGAATAAACATTCAACCGTTGCTTGATCCTACAATTGTACAGTAAACGACGGAGGAATTCGGAATATATTTTGAAAGCGACAGACAGAAAACTGGGAATGGCTCGCAAAGTATCCTAGCCTCAATGTTCGATGATTTCGTGTTTACCGGATTCGATTTTTATTGTTCACTCGCCTCATCTGCATCTTCTGCCCTCGAAGCACCCCGTGGACGGAGCCCACAAAGCTCCTCAGTCTCCCCCTCACTCCCTTCCCCCCGAACGCCGCCATGTGCTGTATGTCGTGCACCATGCCCACCATCCCTCCGTGTGAAGCCGCGGCGGCTTGGCTAGCCGCCGCGGCAGCTAAATGGTCGGCGCTAGCAGCCATGCAGAGATTCCTAACGTCCGTGTGCTTGAGCTGTTGCTTCAAGTCGGAAGACTGCATGGTTTTGATATCGAAAGGGAATCATGTGACGGAGGGGGTTTCAGTTTCGGTCGTAGTCGGTGATTTCACCCTTAATATCTTCAGTCCCAGAACCCTAACCTCCCAAGACGCGGCAGCGTCTGTAACAACCCGCATAGCCAAGCGGAATTCGTAAATAGTAGGTGTCGAAGGACTGCAGCGGGTAGGAGTACAAAATGATAATGATAATTACAACAAACTGAAAGTGGCGTGCAGGGAGCGGGATGGCTGTTCTCACCTTGAAGTCGGTGAGAGTGATCTGCTTGAGCTTGAGCCCTTCTTTGGTGATAGTCGGCGACTTGACAGCTTCCCGCAACACCTGGTCGTTCGACGTACCATAACAGAGATATGCAACAGGGATAACAGATAGTTGCAGTTGGTTGAGGTTGCAGTTACAGCTGCTGATGATGTTTCGCCCTTGCGGCCTTATCACAGCCGTCCTCGCTCGTCCACCCTGCTCAGCATTCTACGGATGCCTTCACAACATAGATCTTGGGTCATGCGAGAGGCCAGCGTCCCGAGTCGTGCGCGATGTTGCCCTCCTTACCAAGGGTGAAAGTGATTCAATCTATGGTTGGAGAAGTGCGTGAGCGGCAGTTGCTTAATTCACGACCACAGCAATACACTTCCTCAGATCCACGCAGGCACCCAGGGAGAGAGAGACAGCAGTTCTTAAAGGGTTCGCCGTGTTGGACTTACGTGGTGGTCGGCAAAGGCCGTCTTTTCGAGGCAACCCTTGATGTCCGGGTGCTCGTCGATGGCCGCGATGAGATCTGACTGGTCTAGCCAAAGCAGGTCGCTCGGGGAGGCAGCGACAAAGGTTGCCTGGACATGATCCGCATACGTGCACGATTCAAGAACTTTAGTGCAGATGGAAGTTCTAACGGCTTGCTGGTTGTGAGCAGAGCGAGCCCACGAACTAGGTCTGCTTGTTTCTCCACTGCCATTCGAACGATTGAACCTTGGGCGAGGTTTGGTTGACCATGTCTATCGCAAAGGGAGTCTAGAGGACAGGGGTATTTGATGCTGCAGCTCATTGAGTATATGACACCTTCGGCAAGTAGGAAAACACTCCCCCCAACGCCCAACAGAAACGAGAAGCTTGCTTCCCACGTGCTGCGATCATTGGCCTGCATGCCCGCCTGCCCCCCCCCCTTTCTTGTAGGATTGTGAATGCTGCCGGTACACAGCGCGCGGCAAACACGAGCCCCCCTCCCAACAGGCGTGTTATCCCAGTCCTGTCCCGAAAAAGAAATGCAGGAGTACAACCGGCCAACACGCGTACCTCTGATCCCCCCCCGAGCATGATATTGCTGAGCCCCCACATTGATCCAGGTCCCCAAACCCCCAAGTACGAGGACTGCCGCAAGGGAGGCGTGTCTGCGTCTCCCCCTCCGAACGAGGAGCGGCGCCCTCGCACCTCCTCGTGCACGTAGGCCTCGACCCTTCCCTTGATGACGAAGTACGCCTGGAGCACGGTATCCTCCTGCAGTATCGCCTCCTCCCCGCTGTCCAGCTCCATCGGCTTCATCGCCCTCGCCAGCCTCATGAGCGCGATAGGCGAGAAGTCGTGGCCCTGAAGAGAAAGGCGGGATTCCTTTTGAGAGTATTTTCCATGGTTTATTTACGATCCGTTTCAGAGCTGACAACGTTTGCTTGGTGAATCGCGGGACAACGTTGCGTGTCTCTACTCGAAATACTCCGGAATTATTGTGTCATGACCATTCAACCAACTTCGCATCGCATTCCCCTGTCTTATCAGCACGCAAGGCCGGGGTCGAAAGGAGTGCCCAAGGTGTCGGCTCTGGGAATTGAGTCATTCCTGCAAAAATGCACGATTCGCAACAATTCCCGTCATGAGAAATCCACGCACCTGTCGGTTGCACAATACAAGTAGTCTACGGTAGTCACTGACTACTGTGGCAGCACAGACGTCGAGAACGCTACTGACTAACAATCTGGACGGGGGTTCGAGTCATGGCCTTGTTACCATGTTTCCGTCGCTTGGAACACATGATAAGCCGTAGTCTTGCCCAGCACTGGCGAGGGGCGCGAGACCTCGGAATTCACTCATCATGGCGGCGATTTGACCGGAATAGAACCTTTTGAAAGTAGCACACTCTTTACGCGTCAATGCGAACCGGAGAAAGCTGCACTCACTACCGTCGCTTCCCCGCTTTCGACACGAGGTTGGTACTCTGTGACCATGGGCTTGCTAGGCCGGGCTAAAGCCTGACACACACAACAAACCTAGAGAGTATCCGCTAACAGCAATGTGTCTGGATGTTTCTTCTGCTGATGTTTCAAAACAACACCTCAACACCAACTCATCACCTCCACACACAACCGTCAAACCCATCTACAACTGAACAGGTTCCATACACGACCAGGCCGTGCGCCATTCGTGCAATGACAGCATCGGAAAACGACAACGACAACGACAACGACAACGTGGGACAACGACAACGACAACCGCGACAACCGCGACAACAGCGACAACGACGACAGCATACCCAACAGAAGCACCGGCAACACGTTGACTCACCTGCAAGAGCCCCGTGGCCGAGATGGCCACGGCATGCGTCTTGGACATCACCTCCTGGCATATCTGCCACGGCACATGCTCCATCACCGCCCTCTCGTCGAAAACGCTCGTCTTGAAATAAAAATACCGGAAGTGTCGTTTTATCCGAGAGCTAATGCCGTCCGGCAATCTTCGATCCAACGCATACTCAGAAATTTTCTGAGGCGCGGGGAACGACGTCGTGCGTGGGGTTGCGTTGTTGTGGTTGGTGGCGACGGGGGGCGGTATGCTGTTGTGTACGCGCGGCGTTCGGTTGTTTTTCTGTTTCCCTCTTCTTTGTTGGGCCGCCCTCCTTATTAAGTACTTCTGCGTAGACATGCGAACTTCGGAGAACATGTTTCAGGATCGGGTTGTATTGGGGTTGATGGGGGTAGGTATTGTCGCGTTCCCGTGTCCCCGACTTAGCGCAAAAGACCAATCCCCTTAATCTGTGCTCAGTGATGACCCCTGGCATCCCGACACCCCCCCTCCTCGCTGTGTCGTTGGTCCTGGTGGGTGCAACAGATTCTCGGAACCCCTCCGCTTCACCCAGTGTTCCCTACGCCATCCTTTCTCCGGCAGCGACGTCCTTCCTTCCATTTTCTTGTCTGGGGTATAGATGAGATTGCTTTGCTTGGCAGTGTTGTAGTATGGACAGTATGTTGCTGTGGCCGGATCACAAATGGCGTAGCCTATAGCGTGGCGAGGACGATGCCTGCTCCGGTCAAGTTGTATATCCGAAGCCCACAAGCATGGCTAGTCCAGCCCCAAACAAAACCAACGTGCGTGACTGCACTATGGAAGTCCATCGGCGCTGTCCGTCTAACAGCAAGCAATACCCCGAGCCTGAACACGAAATTGTCCCCGTGACCTCAACTGCAGCACAATTCCAAGCCATACTCCTACACCAACAGCAGCGCTCGACCGAGGTCATTGTAGGCGGTCTGCGCGTTCCTAGTCAGCTCCGGCAGTCTGTGTGCTGCCGTTACCTGTAGGTTGGTGGTGGTGACCTTCTGGATGGGGGCGATAAACTGCACTATTCTTCTCGTGGCCGCGATGATGAAACCGAAGAGCGTCGCCCCCGTAAGCTGGATGAACACGCTCAATATCAGCCCCTGGCACGCGATGATGCAGCAAGCGTTGTGCAGTAGAATGGGTTGAGGCGCTTCGTTAGATGGATGTCGGCCGTTAACCGACACGAGAACAAGGTGGCGAGAGTGAGAGGGTTATGTTGTGGGTTGACAGCCAGAGGGCATGTAGCGGACAAACAGCGATATGGGGGAGAACGGGAGGCTCAAGACGCACATTCCAACGTGTTGGAACGGCAAACTTGCTTCCATTCCTAACTTGGAGTACGCTTTGCTGCTGAAAACAAAGCTCCATGAGGAGAAGGATCATTTTGCCCAAAAATGCCACCCCTCGGTTCTCGGCCGAGCTCTCCGAGTAAGGGCTCGGGCTGTGGTTACCTCGTCCCATTTTCAAGATTCTGATTCTCACACCGCCAAAAAATAACTTGGTGACGCCCAGTCTCAACCCTGAGCCTCATTGGGCACATGCGTAACCCCTCGCCCACTCCGTGTTTCTCGCCTTTTTGTCAGAAGGATTTGCGTGTTGGTCTCCGTAGCCGACCGTCATCATGGTGTAGATGATGAAGTAAAAAGACGACAGGTACTGGCTTGCCACAGATGTTGATGATCCGCACTGCTTCCATTCTGTTTCTACCCCCTGTTGGTGTTGTTTTCGATTCATCCCCGGTTTCGGTTTGATCGACGGCGTGGTTCGAGCGAGGAGGCGGAGGAGGGTCCATGTTAAGTGGAGCAGACAACGTCAGGAAATAGTACACGACGAACACTGACAAAGTCGCACACGCACGCCAAGTGCTGGCGATCACAACCGCAAGGCAGGAGTATGTCGGCGATAGTACGGCAACAAAGTTGCGCCACAGACCTGTAGCCTCTCCGACATATTGATCAGTAGCCTCCAATTGAGGGAACCCGAACCATATCCTAACGCCATCGCTACTACTACTGTACACCTCCTCACCGCTAGGAGGTCGTCATAGCAGTGGACCCAGAACCAGAAGCAGCTCAGAAGATGTGCCGCCAAAATAACTGTGACCAGGGTCTTCCCGATGCTCATGGCCACGGGGCTCACCTGTCGAAACAGAAAAGCATCGTTAAATTGTTTTTCATCTCTTCTAAATAAACAAAAGCTGTTTCTTCTCATCTACTGTAACCACACTCCTCTTGCGGGCTGATGGTGGTGTTCCAGAATATGACTCGCCAACGAAAACATCCGGGATTACCTGTGTGAGCAGATAGTCCGTGGATGGAAAATCTGCCATGCATTGAGGGTGGCGGCATGTGACTATTATTTTGGCTTAAATAATGGAAAGAAGTATGTGCCTTTGCGCTTAAGACAAACGAGGTCTCCCCCTTCATGCGCTAACCGCACCAACACCACCAATACCTCAAGCTTCATCTAAAGGAGGCCGTTAGGCTTTGGGCGTGGCTGCTGCGAAACCGCTCTGTCTACAGGAACAAGACAGCGAGAATGGACTTTCGTGACGCAAGAGATGGTCCAGACACAAGAGCCGGCCGCGGGAGAAACGACGTACTGTAAGGACTGACCTCGTAGTGCAACGTGTAGACCTTCACCACCTTTAGCAGTTTCAGCAAGCGCAACCCTCGCATCGGCGCCATCACCCTCAAGCTGGCAGGGACCACGCTCCGGAGCAGGGTTGTGTACGGCAAACAGGTCACGAGGTCGAGAAAAAACCACGACGTGATATACCGCCGTGCGATCTCCTTGCGCTCGGTCAGCAGGCCTGATTCCGTCACCACCGCCGTAAAAAAGTGCAGCACCGTGTCCACGATGAAAGAAATGTTGGCGATCGCGGCCAGCGTCAACCCGAAGGCGTGCGCCGGGCACCGGAAGCTTATTCGCCACGGGGTCACCAGCACGGTGAACATGATGTTCACGAACATCCAGTTCTTCCAGGACTGCATGCGCGAGGTCCTCGGGTCCACGATGTACTTTGACATGACAGACTTGGCCTGGATCACGTTGGCCTTCTTCTTAAGCTTCATCGCCGCCCTCAACGTCGCCATCGACAAGCCAGGCGGGCCTCCTCCTGTAGGAATCACCAGCGTTGAGTTGGTCCGAGCCGGTTTAACTCCGCTCCAAAACTTCCCCGTCGCCTCGGCCTTTGATGCTCTGGTTACGATCCGGTGTGCTCGGCCAAATCGCCCGCGAGGCGCGACCCCCGTCTTGACGCATCGCGGCTTGTTGGCGACGACAACCGGGATCTGGGGTATCCCATCTTCAATCCCTTGATCTTCCTGGCTGTTGTGGTTTCCAGCCCCGCGTTGCTCTGCTCTAGCGCTACCGCTTGTTGCAGCAGTGCGAGACTGGACGCTTGCTCCACTACTGCTGGTGGGTGCACCACCGAAGGTGGAAACGGTGGTGTTGGTGTTGGCGGGAGCGGAGGAAGCAGGAAAGGTGGCAACCGAACTGGCATTTGAAGACAAGGAAGCCGCGCTCATGTCGTCGTCTCCACGTGTCCTCAACAACGACGATCCTCTGGAGCTATCCGTCGTCGAGCTCGTAGACGCTCCCCCAGAATTACCCCCTGCCCACCGCCTCGGTATTCTAACCCCATCCTCCACAGGCTGGTCGTCCGCAGGCACCGGCAGCGATGTTGTAGGTGCTTCGTTAGCATTCTCCATCCCTCCTTCAATTATTGCAGCTCAGCGTACTTCCCGTGCCGCCTGCACAGCTCCTGGGTGGCGGCACCTTCAGCAGTCTGTGGAGGCGAGGGAGTTTCCAAGGAATAGCGGTGCCCGAAACAAGCACAGAGATAACAGCAAGATGCGGAAAGGGATGTTTCGGGGTTATAGTCTATACAGTAGTCTACAATACAGACACAGTGCATAGCACACGCCTCCGTCGCACCCTCCTTTACTCCCAAGAAACAGCGCAGCTCTGCGAGCAAGTCCTACGGGGCCCAATACATAATTCCATATTACGCCTGCAGTAGCACGCAGGGACTCTGCTGCAGACTGCTGTTTACAGAATCTGATATTAGGGTTTCAGGGCCCTTCCCGAAGTGCTTTCGGTAGAGAGCCTAGATCACCCAAGCGGCGGGAACTCGGAACAACCACCTCAACTTTCGATCAAATCGACTCAGACCCTCACATACTTAGTTGGCCTGCACCCACCGTTCGTTCCGCACCCCAGGGCACAAATGCCCACGCCTCGTTCATGCCATGCCCCGGCTCTCCCCTCTGTACAATTATCGTTGGTACAGGTCGCCCTTTGCGACAAGGACCAAATGCGGCGAGTTTTCCAGCGCCATCGCCGCGTGCATTACACCCTCGGTCGTCCAAGCCGCCAACAACTTTCGTCGGAGATCGCGAAAAAATACATTAAATAACGAAACGGCTAATTCGCGTCCCCGCACCCTCTACATCGACATGCGGCATGTTTTCTTCATAACTCCCGTTTGAGGGACTCATATTGTGGTACAGCTGTGTGCCCCCCCAGTCTGGAGTCCAAGCGCACCAGCTTAGAGGGAAGAGTGCCGGTGAAGGGCGTCGCGAGGTGCTTGAGCAGCACAAGAAGAAGGGAAGCATCAAGCAGGTACCGCGATATTCCTTGACGGCGTAATAGGGAGATCTATGTCGAACAAAGTAGGTGGTGAACACCCACATCGAGCAACGCTGAAGCATGGATAGGTTCTGTTCTTTCGTGCTGCTGCTACAAGTACTGCTGTGCTGCTGCGCGACAGGAGCAGCGTTTGTACCCTAACATGCAGAGCTCCAGGCGCTCCCTACCGTGTTCTGGGGTACTCCAGTGGTCGCACAAAAGCAGATTTCGATAGGTTCATCCACGTAGTAAAGTGTTTAGGACAAGGAGTGTGAACAATCCGCATGACTGCTGTTGGGCGCGGATGAATCAATCCTACGGGGGCCGCCCCTTTGCCCCTGTAATAGCGAAGCACAGGCCGAGTAGAGGCAACCCTTGTTCAGTGTTTCGAACAAACCCAACGTGCTGCTGCTGCTGCTGCTGCTGCTGTTTTTTTTTGCGTGGAAGTAGAGTTATTCCAACCGGACTTGACATCCTCAACCTGTGCACCCCTTCTATCCCCGACACACATCAACTAGATATTCCAGCTGACGTTGTTCGGAAAGCCATTTGTTCCCACAGCATGTCTGTTGGTCTAGGACATGAGGACGCATTTATCTCGAATGGGTATAGTCTTTCTGTGTTTGTATTTATGTTTTCTAATCTATTAGGACGTACATTTCATACGGATACATGGTTCAGAAGGAGACCGGCAATTTCTTCCGCGCGAATGCGTGTGAGCAGGCAAGGGTTGCGTCAGCGTAGTGTACCGTACATGACAACACAAGATAACACGCCCCCTCGACCGATTTTCAAAGCTCGTTTACTGCACGATGAAGAGGATGCTTAAACGAATCGACACGATGTCGGAAAGCTCTCAACGAGACGGGTTCAACGCCGCCATTTTTGTCGGCAGCAGTCAATCCGTCGTGGAGAAATCGAGCTTTGAAAACAGCTTCAGGGTGTGTGGTATCTTGTGTCACCTACGGTATGATACAACCTTCGCATGTATCCTCCTCTAGGTCGCCTTCCTTACTCCTACAATGTACCTTTGGTAGATCTTTCCCATGCCATATGCGACAGAGTCAGTTGCAGAATAGCGCGCGACCTCTCCGACACAGCAGCAAGATTCAGCTGCACCAACCAGGGTAGGTTAGCAGAGCAGAACTGCTAAACACACGGGAAGGAGCTGCCAATAACGAGCGAGTAGATAGCATCGCGAGTGATGCACTTGTAGAGTATGACTTGTTGCGTGTGACGACGCCGAAGTTCATCGCAAGAAATGCCGCACTTTGCGGCAGATGCCGTCCCCGAACAGCAATGTCGCACATGACCCTCCCAAGGAGTTATTAGCGCTCGTCGCGCACGTAGAGCAGGAAGAGCCGGCAGGAGTGCGGCGTTGGTTGTGGCAGGTGGTGGCATTTATCGCACCACCGTCACCTGAGCTATCTACGCGGCACAGCGATCACGCCCTACACTACTAGCGACCAACGCGACCCTTTATCCTGGCAACCTTTTAGTCTTGGCGTTTCGTCTTCTCTTAGCCCACACACCCATGTTGCATCCTGAACCTTGCCTCGAGGGGGGGGTTAATATTCAGCAGCCTTGGCAGGGTTTGTGTTTTTATAGTTATAAGTAAACATGTTAGATGAAGCATGCAATCGGGGAAGTTGGGTTAGGGTGAGGAACGATGTACCTTTTCCATGAAACGCCTGTAGCCGATTTGTTTGGTAATTCACCTTTTTCATCAAATGCCTCAGCCGATTTGTGCTATTTAGCGAATAATATTGCTGTCTCCGCCGCCCTCCGCCGGCCCTTGTACGGTGGTCGCTTGACTCTTTCGCTCCACCTAGCGACTCCGACACCAACATCAGCCATGGCGGGTTCCGAGGCACCAGCAGCGGCAACGGCTGGGGCGGCGGCCTCGCAACGGCCCCAGCAGCAGCAGCCGCCGGCACTCGGAAGGATAGGCGATGCGTCGCAGCTAGTGGAGGCTGCGCTGCAAGCGCGCGTGGCGGCGTCGCAGGACCAGCGGTTCGCCACCACCAAGACGCTCTTTTTCGCGCTGAGCTCGCTGTGCGGGGTGCTGAGGCTGGAGCTGCGCATGAAACACCTGGGACAGGTGCGCGTGGTGTGCGTGGTGTGCTTTGCAGCGTATGTGTAGATACACTGCTGCAGAGGGTTTCGCCTGCGTGTGCGTCTTGTCGAGCTTCTTGTTGTTGTACGACGGTTTCATGTGTTGCGTCGACCGTACATGCGCATGCTCCTATTACTTAGCTACACGAATGTGCTCTACTGACGGTTGCCTGAGGCAACGACATCGCATTTTTGGGGAGGGGGGGGGGGGGCGGGGGGAGCAACTTGCTGCCAATTCTACTGAATTGTCAACTCCCACGCTTGACGATCCTGGGAAATAAGAAGTCCAGGCTCGAAATATCAAAACATGCGAACTCGATCATGAAAATACGCTTATCCTGATTACTATGCACTAGCTGTTGAGCTAATTGCCCGAGAGAGGAAATAGTAAGAACCGAGCCTCGCGGACAAAACAAGAGGTTCTTTAATCAAGTGGTGTGACGCCCTTTTGCAGCACGGGTATATTGCCGGTGTCCCAATAGCAGGAGTGCCGGTGGCGTGCTTGGTTGCTGACCCCAACTTCGCGATCTTCACTGCTCGTCCTCTCTTCTAATATCAGCACCCCACAATTTTCTGCTATCTGTGTGCCCCCCCCCCTCGTTCTTTGGCGTGCCGTCGCCATCAGGGCAAGTCGGACTCGGAGCTGCGAGCGGACTGTGAGGCGTGCAACACCACCTTGCAAGGAGTGCTGTCCAACAAGAAGCTGGAGGTCACCGCGCCGTTCTGCCGCTCCGTCGCAGAGTGTCTCAGCCAGGTCTGCCCCAGCCTCTGAACTCTCCGCATGCATAGCACACTATCTCTCCCCCCTATCTATGACGACTCACCCCCTGCCCCCTGGACCGATTTGACGGCTCGACTACCCTCACAACGAAGACTATTCGTAGCTCAAATTATTCATTTTCGAGAAGGTCTACATTGACGGGAGCCTTCCAACGACGCTATTATCGGCACCGACACTCATTCTACGGGAGAATAGAAGACTCTTTCTACAGCGGAGTAAATGCGGTTTCTTTCTCAAACCCGGTCTAAGGAGTGTGGTATCTTAGGTCATCTACGGTGATCATGCGGCGATACCGCCTCCTCTTGAGCATCCTCGCGATCACCTCACTTCGAATCGATTACCAGGCCGGCCGCGAAATGAAGCAAGCCCCATTAAAAGACGATCATCGCGGCGACCACCGTTGCCCCGCTGCGATTCCAGTACGATCCGCCCAAAAACCCACCGCCTTTTTTTGGTCCAGTACCCCGTGTAAACGCTTCGGTGGTTCGCTCTCTGTTACCGCTGCTGCCGCTGCCGCTGCTTCTGATCAGCCGAACGTTTCGCATCGCTGCGTTCTTCCTCGGCAATCGATGCCTCTACCCCCTTCGTGCTTCAATAGTTGGCACCATATGGTCACCGCCGCCGCTGCTGTTGCTGCCGCTGTTGCAGGTTTTTGAGCTTTGCGAGTCTCTGAATGCCGTCGGAGCGGTCCTCGATCTGCACAAGCTGCTGGACAACAGGAAGGCTTTGCCTGAGTCCAGGATGGCTGTGCTTGAGGCCCTGGGAGAAGTCTCCAAGGCTGCCGGTGCGTCCTCCCTTTGTTCCTGTGTGTTGTTGTGTTTCTGTTTGTTCCTACTACTCCCGAGTACGTGTCGGCCAGATTGTAGAGCAGGATTGTAGTGCGCAGTCAGGCTGTGGGAAGAGCGGTACCGACGAGCGAGGCGTCGGACCCCACCATTCGTGTCCGCTTTTATCCGTCTTCATGATGCTCCGCTGGTTCGTGCACCGGACTGCCGCCAGTGTGGAAGTGTGGAAGTAGGCCAAGTCCAATGAAGTCAAGTGACACTTGGTAGCATATTATTGCAACTTGTCTCGCTCTGCTGTGATAGCGCCCGGTGCCCAGGATACGGCCGACCAAGATCCACTACTGCCGTACTCGCTTTCCTGCTCTGCGGCTTTCTCTCTCTCTCTCTCTCTCTCTCTCTCT